TCCAGTCAGCAAAGATCCTGATAATATATATTTTTAAACATCTTGGTCCAGTTAAGATTAACATGCACCTACAGGTATAAATATACTCTGGAAAGTAATTGGGAATGTGATATTTCAGCATCTACTGGAGTTGGTATCTCTATAATAAATGTCTGTCATGACTTACTTAAGTTTGTAGGCACAGTCTAGACTAAGAGAGGGATGTTGCTGTGGAAGATCAAAGCGATCCCAGCAACCCCAGTGTCTCTGGATATATACCTGGATATATACCTACACCTGCTGGTGACTGGTTGGTCGATTGGTTGGTTGGTTGGATGTTGGTTACTTGGGGGTTCCTTGTTTTTTATTTATATTTGTGGTTTTGGAGCAGAAGTGAGAAAGGGATGGAGAGTGCTTAAATAATTTTAATTCTCACTGCGCACATCAATATCTTGCATACACATACATTTAGTAGTTAATTAAATTCTCAAGATGTCCTTGGCTTTAAAGCCTCTCGTTCCTAGACTATTCAGCTGTGTTGAGGAAAAAATTAACTTCCACATGGAGAATCCACTCCTATCCACCATCCCCAATCTGCAAATGGATTTCAATGTCCAAGTTTAAATACCAGGCCAGGTGGTTCCATAATATGTTAAGTTTTTTAAAAAATGCAAGTTTCATTGCAATCAATTTCAGTACAACTTCAGTTTAGTGACTGAAAAAAATCTTTCTCTTTATATATAAATATATATTTGTACATGTTTGCTCATGTGTGTATGAGCATGAAAAAAATGTGAGAAAAACTATAAGTGTGTTTAATGGGGTACCCGAGGGAAATGTGAATGAAGAGAAATAAGAAAATAAATGAAATAAAGTCCAAGGCCATCAGGTAATCAAAATGCTTATACCATGAATATCATTGACATTTCAACAAAGTAAAATTCTAGCCCAGGCTACTCAGATGTGGACCACTGAGGCACTGATTCAACAATGCCAAATTGTTGTTACTTATAAAAGTAACTACTAAAGAAATAATATTGGATTGAACTAGAGAATCCATTTTGGAGGGTCAACACTAGAATATCAGCAATTTCATATCACTCAATTTAGAAGAAAATATTTAATGCGTAAGAATCAAAACAAGAGAAAATATTTACTACTTAGGCATATAAAACAATCTTTAGCACTAAAAGTATATAGTGTCTATGGGCCACTTAAAACTTTATATCACTGGGAATAAGATTTCTAGAGAATAAAGTCCCCTGAATTTTGGACTTAATGGTTACATTTAAAGTCGATCTCTTTTGTATTAATTAGACCCTTAAGGTAGAATCACTTTTGAAAAGAAGTTTTAATTACATTTTGAGGAAAGAGATTAGCCTCTTTTTATGCCCTTCACATTAGATGATAGCCTTCATAAGAACTTATCTGACACAGTGTCTTTTTGAGAATCAAAATGGAATTAATAAATATTCATTGCATTAGATATTGTTAAAATAGCCTTTAAATAAAAGACTACCTCCACAAAAGTTCCTATGATTCCCTCTCTCACCTCTCAGATTGGAAAGTCAATATAAGCTGCTAGTCATCAACTATTTTTCCACAAATCAGTCTTTCTCCTTTCCTTTTATAAGACGTAGAATCCCACTGAATAATTCATAGCACACACTGATGTTTAAAAACTAAGCTAGAACCAAAACAATGAGTATAGAGACACAATAAGCCTTTCTGAAGTACATTTTATTTTACTGAAACCACTTGGCAGTCTAAGATAACATTGGTAAGGATGGTATGCTGTGGTGACCAGACCACTGTGCCAGGAGGCAAGGTTCATCCTGCCAACACCACCTGTGTGTTTCACCCCTTAGGAAAATTTGTTTGCCTGTAACTCAAGTTTCCTTTAAAAAAAAAAAAAAAAAAAAAGTATTGATTTGGCATTTCCTACCTCTCTGAGAATGTAATCATTTCTCAGACTCACAAGGATTTGTCAGAATACAATGAGGATGAATGAAGAAAATAAATAAAAAGGCTTATCACAGTACTTAGAAACACAGTAGACACTCAGTTGACTTTAATTAGTATTAAATTAAATATTTAATTCTTGCAAAGCAACTGAGCCATCTAAAGAAAAAAAGCTATAAGAATTAAATCATCATTATTTTCAAGAAAAGTACAGTTTATAATGTCTAATAAAGCACATCAGTTAAAAGGAATTTAAATGTTGGAATCATAAAGTTGAAAGGACCTCTGAGGGTATCCGGTCCAGTCCGGGCACTGAGCCCAAATGCCTGGACAACTTTTCTGACAGGTGTCCACCTTCTGCCTGCACACAGAGAGTACTCATTGTCCCAATGAAGAGCAGTTATAGTTCTTAATTCTCAAAAACCCTATTTATATTCACATGCAAAACAACCAGGGAATAATAAAATCTGTCCCATTTACTCATTGTTAAATTTTCAGAAAAGCAATGACCATCTACTAAAGAACACTAGATATTTAGGGCTCCGATCTCTAAAATTCTAGCTCAGCTTTCTCACAAGTCAGTGATCACGAATAATGTTCAAGATATTAGACAAAATCATTTTCCTCATGCATCTACCAAGTCAGTCATTTACCTGCCCAATAATTTTTAAACCTATATTCTCTTTACTTGACATGGATCCAGGATGCTTTCATGTTTTCTGTCACCTGCTCCAAACCACACCTGTCCTCCCTTTCCTAAGCTTGCCTGACAGGGATGAAATTTAAAAAGAGCTATGCTGAGCAGTGCCTCTAAAGAACTACAATAAAATAGCCAATCAGGAATAAGTGTTTTAAATACCTATAATAGGATTCATTTTAAAGAAACTGAAATGTCATACACTTGAGTATCCTTAAGAGAGCATTCACTTAGGTGTGAGCTTTAATCATTAATATACTAAGCTTTATTAAAATATGGGTTCATCCTGAAGTTTTAATTTTTGGTCATTTTCATTCCTTTCTTCTTTCTCATAATTCTACACACTCACGTCTACTTTGTTAAGGGCTTTTGGGTTCATCTCACCATGATTAATATCTCATATTTCCTGTGGTATAGATATAATTTAATTTAGAAACCCCTGGGCCCAGTTTGAGGGAAGAGAGAAGGAACTCCTAGTTGAGCCTAGAATGACTATCCTCTGATTCTTACACTTAATCTTCATCCCACTCAAGTTTCCATAATCTCCAATGTGATTATCAGTTAGAAAAAGCAGAGCTGGCCCTCTACAAATTATCAGTTAGAGGAAGTTCATTTCAGTGTCCTTCAAATCTCAATATTCCCTCTTCTTCTTCACCGTATCTATACTCTTATACCTTCAAACATCTGGTTCCTACCATCTCCATCTCCAGCACATACGCACACACCCTTCTTTATGAGCTCCATTTTATCAGACCAAGAGTAAAATGAAATCCCTATGCTCCAGAAAATAATTGTAATATAAATAATAATTATTACTATTAATCTGCTTCTCTTTTCATTACCATTTCTCTAAGTCTCAAAACTTGCCCCTTGTCTACAAACAGTATGCGGCCACCAAATGGCCATGTTAAATCTCTCTTCTTGAGTACGCCAAAGCAGAATTCTAATGATTGCTCTGTATGCTTCACTATATATTTTTTTTCCTCATAGAGTCCTCATCATCATTTAAGTGATTGAGAATTCCAATCATTTCTGCTTCCATCAAATCCTAGAAGTAGAGTCTACTAAACATTTCACATGTAACTCTTCAAAGTTATTTTTACTTTATGGTACCCAATCTGTTACTTTGATTTTTGAATTCATTGGACTTAAAATCCATACTAAATTATAAATTACCATAAAAAAAATGAAGTTTTGTTAGTCTTCTCTAACTCTCCTGAGCTGGAGTCATTCTAATGTGCTCTATGCTGATTCACATTTAGTTTTCTTCCTTTGATCTGAAAGGAATTTATATCAAATATTTTATCTAAACTCCAACTCTTGCATTTCTCAACTCGTTTTTATCATTCCAAATTTATGTGTTTAGATTTTAAAATAACTATTCCTTAAGCATTAGAATGAGCATGGAGAGTCCTTTTTACATGTAACGTTCATGTTCTATTAAGCGTTGAAATAAGAGCAATGTAATAATGGTCTTAGGGAACATGTGAACCAGGACCAGGACAGAGGGTAGGCTGAATGAGCCCTAAGGTCTTTCCAAAGTTACAGCTTTATGGTTCAGTGAGAAATTAACCATGCGGAGTAATAGAATCAAGCAATACAAATTGATTACCTCAAATGTTCATAAGTTATAGAAGATTCTTGAATGTATAAGTCCAATAATACAGATAGTGACTATGTCATTGAGCCACTTTCCAATGGCATTATCAAAAGCAATTTCTTGGCACTAAAATTTGTTTTTCACAGCTTACTGCAAGACTATGGAATATATTGCATAACAGCTCTTAAATTAAAATGACTTTTTTAAATGGCAACATGAAGAAAATTCAAAGTCTATAGAACAATTTGAAATATCACATGAGATGAGAGACACATTTACACTTTCTTAAAATTAAAAAAAAGTGCAAACCACAAAAAATTGGTCACTATCTAACACAAGAATTGAATATGGTCAGTAACATTAAGGCATTGCAAGCTAAGGATCTGGTGGTTTGATTTAATGCTAGGAAAAGCATTCATTGTTTACAAACCCAGATCCCTTTTGATGCTTTATTCTGATATTTAAAAATTCATACATTTGGCTTTGGCAATAAGATAAAATTACCTGGCTGCAATATTTTTGAGGGGAGAAATCAGTGTTTGGTATATGTGTTAATTATATATTATAGTTATATAACAAATAATATTCTAATTGAAGTAAAAATAAATGTACAAAGTTCCCATTGGTATATTTGGTGTACCCAGAGTTTTAGACTGAGATAATGTTACTAAAAAATGCATGTGGTTCTTTGGCAAATGACCTTTACTGGACTGTTCATTTCCTTTACGCTTGTATTCATTTCAACGTTTCTTTTTCTTTTAGGACGTGATTCTCAGTCACCAGACTCAGGTACAAAAAAACTATTCTGAATAACCATTACATTTTTTGTGAGGGTTTTTTTTTTTTTAACATATTTATAGCCACATTGTTAGCCTCAAAGTAAACTTAAATCGTATATACAGTTATGCACGTTAAATTAAATTTCTAAAATGAAAACTTAAATTTTGGAAATAAAAATAAATTTTATTTTAAAAAATGTTAAAAGTGAATGTAGATATTTTTGTATCCAATTTGTGTTCCCTTAATAAAAGCTTGGAGATCTTACAATGATCGAAATCAAGAGACACTGAACGGAGATGCTACATATTCCTCTCTTGCAGCAAAAGGTTTTAGAAGCGTTCGACCAAACCTACAAGAAAAAAAATCAACTCAGGTAATCCTGCACACGCTTGTCCCCTGCATTATTTTAAAGCTAGGTTATTAGACCACTGCTTTAGAGACTTTTTTCCAGTAACGTGCATATTTTGACACATTTTATCATTAATATGTTTTTGCTTTTGTATTTGTATTGCTTGCCAGACTTATATTTACAGCATGGAAGACAAGTCTTAAGTTTAAAACAGATTTTTTTTTTTTCTTATTCAGCTGATAAAAGCAGGTCAGTTTCTAACATAATATTTCTGCCTCTTAAAAAGCTGTCAGCTGATGATTTAGAATTCAAAGTTATAAGATCAGCAATACATTATATACTTAATAAATATAATAGGCAGTTACATAGGCAGTTATGTAACTGTCTATTATATTAATTAAAGTAACTCACTGTTGGAGATATTAGCAAAATTGTGTCGCAAGCATGAGAAGTGTTATTGAAACAAATA